AAGTAGCAGTGTCAAAAATACATTGATAATAATTTCAAATAAGCATTCACTATTTTACTTTTCAACAGTAGAAAAAAACCCTGGTTTTGTTTCTGAGGCATATCTGGTGCTGTCTAAAGCGACTAGGATGCATGATCTCGAACCGCATTCAGTGAGTTGTAAAGCACCTAAAAATGCTAACTCGACATGACTCTCTCCTTACGTCGCGATTTCAAGCACTAACCATCTTCGCTTATTCCGACCAGTCCCAAGGCAAGGGGACAGTGGGTGGTGTTAGAGCCACTTGGGTGACATTCGTAACATTTTCCATCCACCGAAACCGATGTTGCAAGATGACCTCACTCAATGAATAGCAGTCTCCTTCACACTGAAATACCCCGCCTCATCTGAGAATTACGATGTTTCAAATCATTCAGAAAAAAAGGTGACTGAACACTCAAAGTCATCGGATATCCTCAGTCCTCAGAATATACGTTTCACAGGGATAGGGTCGAATGGTTGGCACTGACGTGTCTCGTATATCCAAACCAATCTGACTTAAACTGTCGGATGTCGCTCCGGCTTTCGATATGCTGTTACGAATCGCTTCAGATGCACTCATACAAAAACCCAGGGACACAAGATTTTGGACGACTAATAGTTTACCAACTTCGCCTGGTTAACTAGTTCACTAGTTACTAGCCGGTCCTAAGCCCGGGTAAAGAGGGAAGGTTGGGCATAGGGCTAGCAACCCTACCCCCTAAAACAAATCCAACCGCTAAACAAACTTCAAAGCACAAACGAAATATAAAAATAAAAACAAAATTATTCCTCGCTGGAGTCGGAGAGACGAAATGACGCCAGTTGGTGAAACCCTTCGGGAAGCCAATTGGCCCATGTGTCATCTTTCGATAAAGGCGAAAGCAAACATAGGGACATGGAATGTCCGCACGATGTTTAAACCCAGCAAAGCAGCCCAGATTGCAGACGAGATGACAAGGTATCACATTGAAGTGCTTGGAATTTGCGATAGCGGATCGAATGAAAGTGGACTCTCCAAACTGTCAACTGGAGAGGAGAATCAATAATCTACTCCGATATTGTCACCCAGACAACAACCACGAGCACACTGAGTTTTCAAGTGGCTATCATGACGTCCCCAACAGCATCGAAGGCTTTCTCTCATGCAGTGGGAACCAATCTCCTACTCCTCCAGGATCAGGATCATGACAGCAAGGTTCAACTCAAAAGGAAGGAAGGAAGGAAGGAAAGTAACAATCATACAATGCTACCCTATGCATCTACAAATAATTCAGAGCAAGAGAAAAAGGAGGAATTCTACAGACAATTTCAATCAACACTGGATAAGACACCACTCAAGTTGGCGATATCAAAATTCTAATGGGCGATATGAATGTCAAACTGGGAGCGGACAACACAGGAAGAGAACTAACCATGGGTAGAGAAGCACCAGGTGAGGTGATGAACGAAAATGGAGAATTGTTTGCAGAATTCTGTGCATTCAACGATTTGGTGATTGGAGTGGGGCAGTGTGTTTAAGCAGAAGGGTATCCACAAAGCGACATGGATTTAATCTCACCAGATGGACACACTGAAAATCAAATCGACTTCATCTCAATCTCAAGAAAATGGAGACGCAGTCTAGTTGACACAAGGTCAAGAAGAGGAGCAGATGTAGGTTGAGACCACTCACTATCTAGTGCAAGGAACCTTCCAAATCAAGTTAAAAGCCTTCAAGGAAGCTGGTGATAGACCACAGTTCAAGTTCACCACCCAGAAACTGAAGGACAAAGCTACAAACGACATCTTCACATCAGCCATCAAGACAAAATGGGAGATATCGAAAAACATACCTGAAGAAACCTGTGTGGAAGGACGCTGGAAGTCTTTGAAAGCTATGTGGAAAGAAACCTGCACAGCCGTATTAGGAAGGAAGAAGAGACAAGACAAGGAATGGATCTCGACGGATACATGGAAGCTGAGAGAGCAGGGAGAGGAGGATGGTGAAGCAGAAGATAAACCAGTGCAAGGATTCTCAACGACAAGAAGTACAATGTATAAAACACTACACTAGACAAAGAAGTGAAGAAGAGTGCACGGAAAGACAAAAGACACTTCCACGACACACTGGCAAGTGAAGCAGAACAGGCTGCAGTTAGGAGAGACAGAGACCTGACAACATTGCATCAACTAACCAGATTACTATCTGAGAAGTGATCAACACAGATGAAACCAATAAAAGATGATGACGGAAATTTAATGACCAAAGAAGAGAAACAAAGGAAACGATGTGCCGACCGCTTCAAGAAGCTCTTGAATCGACCACCACCACCTGCACTTCGTCCAGAAATACCACCTACAGCCCAGCCGCTGAACTACAAGTGAACATAAATCCTCCAACAAAAATGGAAGTCCTGAACGCCATAAAGCTACTGAAATGCGAGAAAGCAACAGGACCAGATGGGATCCCACCAGAAGCACTGAGAACAGACGCAGAGACAACAGCGGACATGCTCACACCATTATTGCAGAAGGTTTGCAAGGAGGGAAGGAAAGGTACCTGCCAATAGATTGGAAGAAGGGCTACCTAGTCAAACTCCGAAAGAAGGGAGACATGAAGGTTTGCAAGAACTGGCGCGGAATCACTCTCCTGTCTACCCCAAGTAAAATATTAAGCCGCATCATCCTGGAGAGGCTAAAGGATGCACTGGATTCAAAACTACGACCGGAACAGGCAGGCTTCAGGAAGTACAAATCATGTGCGGACCAAATTGCAACGCTTCGCATCATCATAGACCAGAGCATAGAATGGCAATCAGCTCTCTACCTCAACTTTATCGACTTTGAGAAGGCCTTTGATAGCGTCGACCGAGAGGTAATTTGGAAACTGCTTCAATACTACTGAATACCGCAAACCTTTATCAGCCTTATTCAACAACTATATGAAGACGCCACATGCCAGCCAAGTAATTCACAATGGGAAGCTCAGTGATGCTTTTGAAGTGAAGTGAAGACAGGAGTGAAGCAAGGTTGCCCACTATCCCCCATGATATTCCTGATTGTGGTCGACTAGACTGGATCATGCAGCAAACAGTGGGGAGCTGTGAGAAGAGGGGGATACGCTGGACTGCGGAAAAGAACCTAGAAGACTTGGATTTCGCCGATGACTTGTGCCTAATGTCACATAAACTTGAAGATCTGCAGGCAAAAACTAACAAGTTGGCAGAAGAGGCAGAGCAGCGAAGACGGGACTTCAGGTGAATACAGAGAAGACAGAAGTGATGAAGATACTGCACCACCAAGAACAACAAACTCCAGTCACCATCAACGGGAGAAACTTAAAGGAAGTAACCTCCTTCACCTATCTAGGAAGCACTGTTTCAGCTACAGGCGGTGGTGGCACAGACTAGGATATCAAAGTCAGAATCGGAAAAGCAAGACAGGCGTTCATTAGCCTGAAACCAGTGTGGAGATCTTCTGCACTCAGCATGCGGAACAAGATACGGATTTTCAACACCAACGTCAAGTCAGTGCTTCAGTGTGATGGTTCAGAGACTTGGCGCGTCACGAAAGGGATTTCCAATAAACTACAGACATTCATCAACAACTGCTTACGCTGGCTCGTTACTGAAGATCAGATGGACAGAATAATCAAAATAAGCAACAAGGAGCTCTGGGAACGAACCAACCAAGAACCTATCGCTCAACAAATATGCATTGGAAGGAAGTGTAGATGGATTGGGCATACACTCAGAAAGCCGACTGGGGACATCACGCGTCAGGCCAGTTGCTCAAGTGGAACCCCCGTGGGAAGCGACGAGTTGGGCATCCGAGTTGAGGGTGACATGGAGGAGATGGTGCGAGGAGGAAATGAGAGCTTGTGAGCTGTCGTGGAGCCAGGTTGAAAAGATTTCAGAAAACAGAGTTCACTGGAGACGTGCTACTGAAGCCCTATGTTTCCATTAGGAACCCAAGGGACTAAATAAATAATAAAATAAATAATAACAGTTTACCACCAAGAGTGAGTGCAAACACAGTTTTTTGTAAATTTTGTAGAATCACTTTGCACTTCGACTATGCGAAGCAAATACCATGTTTATGGACGCTGATTACTAACTGATGTAGTGCGATAGAAGTAGGCAGTTGTTGTTGCACGGTAAAACAGTACCATCCGCTTACTCTAGGTGGCTAGTCTACGTTTCTACTCAGCTTTTTCGGAGCCTTTTCGAGAATGTAATTGACGGTAAAGTTGAAGAGCTATGGGAAATTGAGCAATCCTACTTTACTATTGATTTGAACATAGGAGATAGGTAGTTGTATACTGTCACTTTACCAGAGGGTTCACAGGAATACCTCTTTCTGACAGACAACTTCAGAAACACTTCTGTCTAAAATTCGAAGGCAGTCTTGATATCGAGAAATACAAGGTCGTTGGCTTGCAATACACTCATCTAACAGACAGCTTTAGTCGAGTTTGTGGCGATGGTTTACATTATGTGTTGATAATATATGAACGTCCGGTAAATAGATCAGGACATCTAAGTATTGGAAAAAAGCCATCTGTTTTATACTAGCTAATTTTTCCCGCATTCCGTATAGTATGAAAAATTGAGACATCAGACAGTATTTTATACACAACTAGTAGCAGGTTTATACCGTGAATATTTTGATATACATGAAGTGGTGTTTTTTAAAGATAGGCCAATCACCTCATTACATCGTTGTCTATCATGAAGTAGTCGTCTCCTTGACTGGATGCCTAGACCAAAGCTGATGAGAAAAAAAAGAAAAACCAAGGGTGTGTGGATGGTAAGGGGTATTAAAATTCTTGACGTCTTATCAATATAAAACATAAACCTTAGTTGCTGAGTCACGTTTCTTCATCTATTTCGTGCACGTCTTTACTACATTTATTATAACAAATGATTCTATTCCTTAGTGTGGACGTCTACTGGCTTTTTCTTTGGAAAATATATCTGTTTGTAATGCTTTTTTTTTAGTTGGATAGATGAATTAAATGGTGATCCAGAATCGCTTCCCCCGATTGAGGAGAAATTCGATCCAGAACGTAACATCAAAACTACTATTCGATATTTTTATAATGAAGACGGTGACTTAGTTAAAGAAGTTAAGGAGTATCTTAAAGAAAAGCGTGTTGTTGCTACTCAGGTAGCAGAAAGAAAAAAATGGAAGAAATTTGGCGCTTCAAAACTGATCCATCAGGAGGTTGTTTAGCTAATACTTATCCAGCTGACATCGTTACAATGCAGATTGTTCAATTACGACAGGTGTGTGTGCGTATGTGCATGATGAGTAAAGTTCATCTCATTTAAATGTTCAGGTATATTAATTCACTAGCTGCTTTATATACCTTTCTAAAAATTATTGGTTTGACTGTTTAGTCGATAAACTTTGATTACTACCAAGCCCTGAGAGGTAAAAGGCTGCATGGATTATCCATTAGTGACCACTTCGTGTACATAATCCAGTCCTACACAGGGTCAGTCGTGACCTGAATAGCTTAGTGGTAAGGCCTCGAACTTCAGTACTGAATGATGCAAGTTTGAATCACCCTAGGAACATCGATTTCCTCATGCTTGTAGATACACCTTACTGCCAACAAGCACAAAACTCTAGGCTGAGTAGGACTTCCTGCCGATTGTCTCTCATCATTTAACACCAAAGTTTGTGGATTATCCATAGGATAGGACATTGTGCATCGATATTCTTCACAAATCAGTGATCCTACGTTGATGGTTTTGTTCGATTCTATCCATTCATACTCACAAGTTATGCCTTTTCTGGATTAAGGTGTTACAAATTAATGAGAAACACTAGTGAATGACGTTCAAAAAGAAGGAACCCACATCATTCCGTTTATTCTTTCTGCTATTTTTTCTACGTAGCCTGAACAAGAGCAAAAGAGACAAGAAGAATTAAATCTTAAAACTAAGCTTGGAGAACCGGTGGTTGTTTGCAGTTATTGTAAAGGTGGACATTTCACGCGTACCTGTCCGTATAAAAGTGATATGGAAGCGATGCAGTTATTGCAAGAACAACTTCGTGCTAAAACTGAACCTTCTGAGGAATCTGTCAAAGAACCAGTAAGTATATATGTATTTCCGATAAAGCATATTATATACCTTTTCCTCTTCACTGATGACTATAATGTACATGCTACCCAACATCATCTTTTGCCTATATTTACTTCAGTACTATAGATTTTATTCATTAGACGTTACTATATGTATCATCTTCAATTGTGTGGACATACAAATAACCATAACGAGTAGGACACATCTTTAAAGTGTGTATGCATTCAAATTATCACGCTACACTGCGGCACGGAATAAAAACAATTAATCAATATGATCAACCAGAGAAAAGATATAAGTTGAGGGCACTAACCTTAAAAATTACTTAAAGTCTCTAAGCGACACAGATGTAAGCGGTATTTGAACATTGTCACGTAAGGTATCCGTCTATCGTCGTATTCTGATACTATGGTTAGTAGTCAGCGCCACACACACACACACACACACACACACACACACACACAAGAGGTCATAGTTTAGTTGAATGCCAAACCACCACTTCAAAATATAATATTGTTTCACTTTGCAGTATATTCAATAAAAGAACTTAAATGGATATAGAGACAGCCTAGGCATACACCATTTAGTCAGTCAATATCAAAATGATATCTGGCATTACTTCGTAACAGTACCTGTTGCCACGGCTCATATCAGTAAAACAAGATACAAGGCAACAAGAAAAACGATAAATAAATGAAAACAGTTTAAATAAAAATAGTTATAAGTATTTGTAGGGGAAAAATGTGCAGATGATGGTATACTCTGAGCTTAGATTGTTGTTAGCAGATGTGTCAATAATATACTAGTCATCATTTTCGGAGCAAACGCACAGGCACTAAATTTCTATTCTTTCATTGCTCTTCAACTTTGTTGTGGATAATATTCTGAAAACAGCTAAGAAGTAGGTGTGTTGTGGAGACGGGAGTTTGTCAGCATCCTCAAGAAAGAGACTTATGTCTCTAAGTATTATTACTGTTGTTTCCGAACACTACGGTTATATATGTATATATATATTCCGGAACGAATATAATATGCGCGCTTAGCTGACAGCTAACTTGGTACGCAAGAGTCACTGACTGCAACCTCAGGACGAATAGAGAGAAGACTGAAGCTGACAGATGGGAGTGTATTACTCCGAGAATATAATAATAGTTCAATCCAAAACACGTGAATAAATATACACATGAAAAATGACCTTGTCCTCAATTTGAGGCATTTGCATAGTAAGAGTAAAGATTAACCATTTAGCGATTTACATTACAATGGGGGCAGAAAGTAGACTTACTAGTCATACTGTAAAAATGGTATGGGAACGACACGTTAAAATGTTCAGATCAATAACAATGTTTTTATACAAAACTGGGGCATCACAACAATTACGATACCCGTTTATTGTGTAGCAGCATTTAAGCTACTATAATCTCAATTAATCCATTGGCAATCGGTTTTTGAATATTATGGTGTATACTTTACACTATCGAAGTGCAAATTTCTTTGACAGGATTTACAAGAACGTGTAGCTGTATTCACTCTTGACTGTGTGATTTGTTGAAAATTGTCCAAATGTGCGTTTGTGTGGATGGGCGTATGCGTGCTGATGCATTTTTTTTATTTTTAACTAGAGCGGTTTATATACCAATCTTGGTTATCTTTGGTATTGTTACAACGGTAACTAAGCTATAAAAAACTAGGTGTACAATGTATCAGTGTGAACAGCTCTACCTTCCATTTTTATCTTATTTCTACCCTGATAATATTTATCTTGTTCCTAATGTACAGATTTTAAATTTCTAGATGATAGTTAATACTACCATGTGAGCATCTAGGTATTTCCATAAATCTCTTTCTTACGCATCAGATAACAATAATAGCCGATTATACGTAGCCTGGTTAACTAGTTTACTAGTTACTAGCCGGTCCTAAGCCCGGGTAAAGAGGGAAGGTTGGGCATAGGGCTAGCAACCCTACCCCGTAAAACAAATCTAACCGCTAAAGAAACTTCAAAGCACAAACAAAATATAAAAAATGAAAACAAACTTATTCCCCGCTGGAATCGGAGAGGCGAAATGACGCCAGTTGGTGAAACCCTTCGGGAAGCCAATTGGCCGATGTGTCTTCTCTCGATGAAAGCGAAAGTAAACGTGGGGACATGGAATGTCCGTACGATGTTTGAACCCAGTAAGGCAGCCCAGATTGCAAAGGAGATGAGAAGGTATCACATCGAAGTGCTTGGGATTTGCGAAAGCAGATGGAATGGGAGTGGACTCTCCAAACTGTCAACTGGAGAATCAATAATCTACTCCGGTCACCCAGACGCCAACCACGAGCACACTGAGGGAGTGGCTATCATGATGTCCTCAAGAGCATCGAAGGCTCTCATGCAGTGGGAACCAATCTCCTTGTGTGGGATCATGACAGCAAGATTCAACTCAAAAGGAAGAAAGGTCACAATCATACAATGTTATGCACCTACAAATAATGCAGAGCAAGAGAAAAAGGAGGATTTCTACAGACAACTTCAATCAACACTGGACAAGACGTCAGTTGGCGATATCAAAATTCTAATTGGCGATATGAATGCCAAACTGGGAGGGGACAACACGGAAGAGAACTAACCATGGGTCGAGAGGCGCTAGGTGAAATGAATGAGAATGGAGAATTGTTTGCAGAATTCTGCGCATTCAACGATTTGGTGATTGGAGGCAGTGTGTTCAGGCACAAAGATATCCACAAAGCGACATGGATTTCACCAAACAGACACACTAAAAATCAAATTGACTTTATCTCAATCTCAAGAAAATGGAGACGCAGTCTACTTGACACAAGGGCAAGAAGAGGAGCAGATGTAGGTTGAGACTACTCACTATCTAGTGCAAGGAACCTTCCAAATCAAGTTAAAAGCCTTCAAGGAAGCTGGTTACAGACTCCAGTCCAAGTACAACACTCGGAAACTGAAGGATGAAACTACAAAGGAGATCTTCACATCAGCCATCAAGACAAAATGGGAGACATCGAGCAACATCCCTGAAGAAACCTGTGTGGAAGAACACTGGAAGTCTTTGAAAGCTATGTGGAAAGAAACCTGCACAGCCGTATTAGGAAGGAAGAAGAGACAAGACAAGGAATGGATCTCGACGGATACATGGAAGCTGAGAGAGCAGGGAGAGGAGGATGGTGAAGCAGAAGATAAACCAGTGCAAGGATTCTCAACGACAAGAAGTACAATGTATAAAACACTACACTAGACAAAGAAGTGAAGAAGAGTGCACGGAAAGACAAAAGACACTTCCACGACACACTGGCAAGTGAAGCAGAACAGGCTGCAGTTAGGAGAGACAGAGACCTGACAACATTGCATCAACTAACCAGATTACTATCTGAGAAGTGATCAACACAGATGAAACCAATAAAAGATGATGACGGAAATTTAATGACCAAAGAAGAGAAACAAAGGAAACGATGTGCCGACCGCTTCAAGAAGCTCTTGAATCGACCACCACCACCTGCACTTCGTCCAGAAATACCACCTACAGCCCAGCCGCTGAACTACAAGTGAACATAAATCCTCCAACAAAAATGGAAGTCCTGAACGCCATAAAGCTACTGAAATGCGAGAAAGCAACAGGACCAGATGGGATCCCACCAGAAGCACTGAGAACAGACGCAGAGACAACAGCGGACATGCTCACACCATTATTGCAGAAGGTTTGCAAGGAGGGAAGGAAAGGTACCTGCCAATAGATTGGAAGAAGGGCTACCTAGTCAAACTCCGAAAGAAGGGAGACATGAAGGTTTGCAAGAACTGGCGCGGAATCACTCTCCTGTCTACCCCAAGTAAAATATTAAGCCGCATCATCCTGGAGAGGCTAAAGGATGCACTGGATTCAAAACTACGACCGGAACAGGCAGGCTTCAGGAAGTACAAATCATGTGCGGACCAAATTGCAACGCTTCGCATCATCATAGACCAGAGCATAGAATGGCAATCAGCTCTCTACCTCAACTTTATCGACTTTGAGAAGGCCTTTGATAGCGTCGACCGAGAGGTAATTTGGAAACTGCTTCAATACTACTGAATACCGCAAACCTTTATCAGCCTTATTCAACAACTATATGAAGACGCCACATGCCAGCCAAGTAATTCACAATGGGAAGCTCAGTGATGCTTTTGAAGTGAAGTGAAGACAGGAGTGAAGCAAGGTTGCCCACTATCCCCCATGATATTCCTGATTGTGGTCGACTAGACTGGATCATGCAGCAAACAGTGGGGAGCTGTGAGAAGAGGGGGATACGCTGGACTGCGGAAAAGAACCTAGAAGACTTGGATTTCGCCGATGACTTGTGCCTAATGTCACATAAACTTGAAGATCTGCAGGCAAAAACTAACAAGTTGGCAGAAGAGGCAGAGCAGCGAAGACGGGACTTCAGGTGAATACAGAGAAGACAGAAGTGATGAAGATACCGCACCACCACCACCACCATCAACAACGACAACAAACTCCAATCACCGTCAACGGGAGAAACTTAAAGGAAGTAACCTCCTTCACTTATCTAGGAAGCACTGTTTCAACTACAGGCAGCGGCACAGACGAGGACGTCAAAGTCAGAATCGGAAAAGCAAGATAAGCGTTCATTAGCCTGAAACCAGTGTGGAGATCTTCTGCACTCAGCATGCGGAACAAGATACGGATTTTCAACACCAACGTCAAGTCAGTGCTTCAGTGTGATGGTTCAGAGACTTGGCGCGTCACGAAAGGGATTTCCAATAAACTACAGACATTCATCAACAACTGCTTACGCTGGCTCGTTACTGAAGATCAGATGGACAGAATAATCAAAATAAGCAACAAGGAGCTCTGGGAACGAACCAACCAAGAACCTATCGCTCAACAAATATGCATTGGAAGGAAGTGTAGATGGATTGGGCATACACTCAGAAAGCCGACTGGGGACATCACGCGTCAGGCCAGTTGCTCAAGTGGAACCCCCGTGGGAAGCGACGAGTTGGG